CTCTCTCTCTCTTTCTCTCTCTCCCTCCCTGTCTGTAGCTCTCTCAAATGAATACATAAATAAATAAGCATTTAAAAAACAAACACTGCTTGGACTCCTGCATCCCATCAGGAGTGCTTGGGTTCAAGTCCCAGCTCTGCTCTCAGCTCCAGCTTCCTGCTGGTGCACCCTGGGAGGCAGCCTGGGATGGCTCAAGTACGTGGGTTCCTGCTACCCACCAGGGGTCTGCATGGAGCTCCTGGCTCCCAGCGTTGACCTCTAGCCAGGCCTGGACTGCTGTGCGTGTCTGGGGAGGTCACCAGCTGCTCTCCTCTTTTTCTCTTCCTGCTGCTGCTCAAATAAATATTTAGGAAAACTCCAGCACACCGTCCTGCTGAGACCGACAAAGTCCTCCTCGCAGTCCTGCTGGGACTCAGGGCTTTGGCCTGCTTTATCACCTCTGGACCAGTGCTGAGGACTGAGGTGACCCAAGTCCATCAAGGCACTGTGGTACGGGGTTCGCCCTCGTGGGGCAGTGGCTTCAGCTGCCGCTGCTTTGCCAGGATCCAGTATCAGAGCGCCGCTTCTGATCCAGCTCCCTGCTAATGCTCCCGGGAAGGCAGCAGAGATGGCTCAAGTATTTGGGTTCCTGCCGTCCACACGGGAGACCCAGACGGAGCTCCTGGCTCCTGGAGTCCTCTTGGTCTAGCCCTAGCTTCTGTGGCCATTTCAGGGAGTGAGCCAGCCGTTGGAAGCTCTCTGTCTCCACCTCACATCACTCTGCCTTTCAAATAAATAAATCTTAAAAACAGCAACAAGAAAAACATCCCGTGGCTCACACAGGCCCACGCAACAGCACAGAGCCCAGAGGTGGGGATCAGTCCGTCTCTGACAAGGAACAAGGCCAGCTTCACCCAGGGAGCTGGGAGCAAGACACCCCCAGCCAAGGGAGGGAGGGTGGAGGGGGAAGAAGGGAGAAGAGAAAAGCCGGAGTGGGACAGGCCCACACTTTTCACAAAAATTAACTCAAAATAGATCATAGGCCCACACGCAAGATGCAAAATTCCAAAACTTCTATAAGGAAATGGGGGAAAAGCTATGTGGCTTTGGGTTTGGGGATGACGTTTTCACAAACAAAAAATCCATGAAAAATAATTGTCAAATTCTGTTGAAAAAGATGAAGCTCCTCTGTGGAAGACTGAGGCTCCGGGAGCTCGCGCAGACCACACCTGGCGGAGGGTTCTGGAAGCAGCCCTGAGGAGACGCCCACTGAAGAGCCGGCAGCAGGGCGGAGCCTCACCACGGCAGGCGCCACCTGTGGCAGGGCTGCTCGGCTCGGCCGAACACACGGGAGGCCGACGGGCGCTGCTGACGCCGGTGAGCCGTGATGGCTGGGGGAGCGCCGTGTGCACAGCTGCTCTGGACGGCACAGGGCAGCTCCTCGCAGAGCCAAGCCGTCCCACGCAGGCACCGGGGTGTTGCCCATCTGTGGTGAAGATGGACGTCCACACAGAAGCCGGGTTGCGTGTGTTCACAGCAGCTGTCCTCACAACCGGCCAAGCTGCAAGCAGCTCGCGTTACTCATCCTTCTGCCCTGGGGGCCCCAGCCGGGGGTCTCGTGGTGGCCGTGGGGCCCCAGCCGGGGGTCTCATCCAGTGCCGAGGAGAAAGGAGCAAGAGAGCCACAGAAGACACAGGAGGACCTGACAGGAGACGCTGCGTGAGACAAAGACTGCCCGCTGGGCGAGCTCGGTTTTCCGATTTCCATTCTGGAAAACGCACAGCTGTAGGCAGTGGTCCAGCGTGGGATGCAGAGTGCAGAGCTGGGGTTCTCAGCACGGTAGGACAGGTCTGTGTGGTGCTGGCATGCTGGCCAAAGTCCGGGGAGCCTGGGGCTGGTGCCCTGGTAGCCTGCGATGCCAGTGTCCTACATGGGCTCCACATCGAGTCTCAGCTGCTTTGCTTTCTACACAGCTGCTGCTGATGGCTGGGGGAGGGGGAGTTGTGATGGCACAGCCAAGTGACCATGAGTGTGGGCCAGCGCACCCAGCTTTCCAGGAGCCGGCAGCAGCTGGGAGGGACAGCGGGGCTGGGGCTAGAAGGCAGGCACTTTCTCCAGACACAGGACTGCACACCCGGACGGGAGCAGGGGCGGGGGACAAACTGGCCTTAGTTCCCCAAGGTCCTGATAAGGCAACAGCCGGTCTCGGATGGGCAGAAACACCAAGGCCAGGAGGGAAAGGCCAAGACGCCAGCAAGTTAGGGGTGGCGGGGGCAAGGTGCTCCCCCAGTAGCAGCAAGTCCCAGAGGCAGGTGGTGAGACCAAGGGCATCCAGGGTGCTTGGGCAGGGGAGCTGTGGGGTGAAGACTGAGCCCGTGGACAGCAAGGATGCTGCTTCCCACACATGAGTGAACCGGGTGCAGGCCGGGCCAGCTTCCGGTTGAGAGCCAGCCGGAGCCCCGTGACGAGGGACGGGGACCCTGTCCGGCACTGTGTGCGGTGCCACGAGAGCAGCGTGCTCGTGGAGCTGGGCTCTGTGGCTCTCCCAGGTTCACAACCCCTTCGGCATCAAGTTCCCAGCCCAGCTTCCATCCAGACACCGGCAGCTCAGGCCCCAAACCAAGAGCCCGGTTTCTGTCTCCCACCTCACGGCTGACACAGCAGCAGTGGTCAGCCCTGGGAGAATGGAGTCCAGGCCACTTCCACCTGGGCCCAACTGGCCACCTGCTTCCCGCCTCCTGAGGGCCCTGCCTTTGGGGTGACTCCGCCCACCTCACTGTCTGGGGCCTGCGGTGAGGCCATGGGAGGGGACAAGTCTTCCCAGGTCGATTTTTACAAAGCTGCCCCTCGCCCGCCCTTCCTTTCTGTATGAGATCGGGACTGGCCTGACTGGCCTGTTGCAGCCACCCTGGACCACGAGGCATGGAGCACGCAGTAGCCCAAGGAGGAAGTCCTCGGAAGAATGCGTGCTTCTTCGACTTCCGTCC